GCAAGGCAGAGGGCCCAAAATGCAAACCAGACCTATCCATATTTGTCTTATACGTGGCATAATGGAGGAAATTGTACCGTGCGGGAGAGGTACCAGACACTCCGCACGAGGTGCTCTGTGCTGCCCGACTGCCCGACTTGCAAGATTGCAACTGAGAGGTTGGTGACGCTGAGCCAAATGTCGAAAAAATACAAGGTCGCCACCCACGGGTCCATGAGTACGATCGCAGTGGGGTCCCCGAGCACGAGTTCATACGACCAAGCATCCCCACGAGGCAGCATGTCGCGGTGCCCTCGTGTTCGCAAGCAGCGCTCGAGGTCGAGAACGTGCTTGTAGTACTGCGTCCAGAGCCGATACCAGACAAAAAGTGTCGAGAGAATGCGGTAGCCAAATTTCAGCCAGACCCACACCGCGAACCGAGACTCGTTGTACACAAAGTACACGGTCATGGCCGACGCATCGGTGTTATTTTTCTCAACTGCATTGCCCGGGACGAGCCACACGCACGAATGGCCCAACGAGAAGGACAAAAACTCAGACCGAAAACACGAGCCCTGGGTGGACCAGTCGACGGCACTTGCATTGGACGCCGAGACCGCGTTGCAAAGCATCTCGATGATACGATCCGTGTAAAAGATGAGGCCCGGAAGACCCGGCAATATCGAGCTCGAGCACGTGGTGACTGACATCGGTGGCTGCCCGAGATGCAGCAGCGCGCGGGCAATTTGCGCGTTGTTGGTGTTGTCGACTCGGTACGAGTTGCCGTAAGGCAGCGTCGCGCTCGTATACAGGGCGCGCTTGAGCGCCAGTTCGGCATTGGAAAAGGTGCTGTAGTTGGCGTACAGAGTGGGAGGTGACAACTTGCCTGCCCACGGAAAGTGCTCAGACACGTACGCCGTGAGAGGCTACAGAACATTAAAATTCCATTGCTCTCAGAGGGCGACATACCATCGTCGACACTTTGAGTATGGATGCAACGCTGAAGAGCCATGCGACGCGATTTCGACGGACGCGACGTCGTCGCGGGGTTCTCGTGTCCGCCACCTTGGTCGGACGTCGCATGGCGCTTCAACGGGGTGTTTCGCGCCTGCAAGGAGTCGAAACGGACTTTTCAAGGGAAAGCGCCTCAGCGAAATCAACGACTCGTGGCCAGAGCCAAGAGTACATAAATATCCTAGGGTGTGTAACGACGCCTATTTTGGGCCGCGCGGCATTTTACTGTACATGCGTCGGATGAAACGCCACAGAACGATTGCAAAATTTGGATGAGGAAACTTAATCGAAGGATAATACTTAATTGAAGAGAAGACCTTCAAAAACGTTTCACCCTGCAATTAAGTTCAGGAAATCATTCGATAAAGTATCCAAAAACCAAGTTTCTAGCCGCGATGGGTGCCTTTGCTCAAAGTTATGGAGATGTGGGAAGCCACGCGCGAAGCTGAGTTTTTGAGGGAAGCAAGTCCGAAACATCTTCTTGCAGGTACAAGCTTTTCTTTTGCCGCGCGTAGCTTCCCACGTCTCCATCCTACGGCCCCAAGATGACCACATTAGGACCACAGAAGCGTAATAAAAAAGACTCATGCAAAATATTTCGAGTATTTTAATTACTATTTATTTTATTTCACTCGTCACGTTTTGTATAGAGAAAACATCCGACGCATCCGTTTCCGGTAATGCCCAAAATAGATGCCGTTACACACCCTATAATACTCTTGCTAGAGCCTGGCATTCTAGTTTTCCATCTCCGCTAAGCAACCCGCCATGCCTCACCAGGTAATGCAGGCCTCGTGCCCTTTATTTCCCTGAGCGAAGAAGCCGTGTGAAATAAATACAACAATTTCTCAGCCCAATACCGATGTAACTCCTTGAGCCGCTGTCAGGACGCTATCTAGACCAGAGGTATAAGACTGTTTTAGCAAGGCTGCGACGCAACGAATTCTTGTGCTCTTACATATATATATGAACGTGTTTCGCGTTAACGTTATCTTCATAATTACACAAAGACTTCGCATACGTAGAGACTAGCAATCTCCTTCTTCTTCATTCGCTCGCCGGTCCGTGGCTGTGCAGGCGGCGGCGCGGGGGCTCGTCTGGCTCTTCTGTCGTCGCCCTACGACGCTTGTGGCCGCGGGTGAGGCCCGTGACGACACGGTCGGTTCTTGAGCTCTTAGCTCCTAATTGCTACCAGCGGGTTTTTTGGGCGAGACCCTAACCACCTACACGCAAGATAGTCTGCCAAGTGAGGCAGAGCTAAAAAA